ATGTATATTCTAAGAACGAAATAATTTTTAGTCAACCTCTGGTCCATGTGCATTTCATCTTCAAAAAAAATATTGCATTATTCTACACGTGGTCAGGACCACTACTCCTTTTTCTTCGTGGTAATGCATGAAATTCTTTGTTTTTTTTTTCTTCTTTTTTGTTTTTTTTAACTATTTTTGTTTTTGTTTTTAAGAGAATGGAAAAAAACCTTCGGTACAATGTTATTATGCATAAGTATGTAAAAAAAAAAAAGAAATCATATCTTGGAAATTTTTGTAACGTTGAGCTTTTAAAATAAATAATATAATTTTGTTTAGCGAGAAGCATCCGAAAACAGCATTTGGCGACAAAAAAATGTTATAGCACGAATATAAATGATATAAACATGGCTCGACATCAAGAAGTATGTGAATATTCAAGTCACGAATAAAATGCTCTCTGGTCATATAATTTTATTTCTTTTTATTTTTTTTTTGTATTCTTTTTTAATTTTCATTTCCTCTTTTTCTCCGCTTAAACGTTGAACCAAACTTCGTTCGTAAAAAAACTATTGCAGTTTCCTTTTTTATTTCTTTTTTCCCAGTTGAAAAATTATTTTTGGATTTAATCGTAACATAATGTTTCATAACTTGAACACAATTCCCTAGTAGCACAAAATATTGAAAAATATTGAATACATGTGTATTTAATATTAAAAAGACATTAATCTTCTTTTAATATTAAATACACAGTATTCAAAATTTTTCAATATTTTGTGCTACTAGGGTTATTTATATGCATACAGTATATATATAGATATATATAGATATATTAATATACTAATAATATAATAATACTTTAATAAATAATATACTAGCCCGAAGTAATGTGCACAACAGTCCCGGGCTGGTTCGGGGACAGACTAAGACTAACTAAATTCTTGACTTATTCATAAAATATATATATTATTTATAATATAAAAATATGTATAAAAGTAAGTGCATACGTTATATATATATCCATCTGAGTCCCAGGAGGTATTGAAAAACACTGTCGAATTTTTCGTAAAAAGCGCGATCGCGTTTTCTCTAAATGAGAACAAAATGTGCTGGCATTTCTCGACATAAAATCTCAACAGCGCGATCGCCCTGCTTAGGACTCAAACGGATATAACGCATATAATGTATGCACTTTTATAAAAGAAAAGTATGTGAAAACTATACGTAAAAATATTCTACAATATTTAATTACCATAGAAATCCGACGTGTATTATCTTAATCACTGTTCGAACGTTACTACTGAGTTTTTGTAAACAAACAGTCTTCATAGTAGTAACAAAAGAATACTAATACAGTGTTCTTAGAAAAAGTCATATCATTTGTTTATGTTTAGTAAGAACGTTCGTTGGCCGATGTATTAAGTATTATCAATGTGTGTTCTTCACTAGAGAGATTGTTTACGATTCAATCTCATTGAAGAAACGTTAATATTTTACGTATGTACGTATATGTTAATATATAAATGTTAAATAATCAATTGTATTTTAAAGAATTAAACATATGTATAATACGATCATTAATAAATGTTTTTTTTATAGAATTTGAATATAATTATATTTTAATATTACAATTATATAAATACGTATACGTTTATTATTAAAAAAATAAAAAATGTGATATTCCTAGATAAAAAGATAAAAAAATAAATAAATAATATACTAATATTTTATTATTCTTTATTTTATATATTACAAATATTAAATATTTTATATTATTAATTAAATATATAATATAATATATTATATATAAAGTTACATATTATATAAAATAATTTATAAATATTATAAATAAAATATTTAATAATATTAATATATAAAAATATAATTCTTTAATATATAGTAATTTAATATATATATTACACTTATAATAATAAATATAATAGCACAGGTAAAAATATAGTAATTTTCCATATTATATATTTTATTATAAATAAAATTCTATATTATAAATTAAATATTTATTAATATTAAAATATAAAATATTATATATAAATTAAAAAATTATATATTATATATTATAAAAGAAAACTTATGTTTAATATAATATTAATTTATTCTACTCTATTTTAATTATAAATAAAAATCGATTTTATTATCATTCAAAATAATAAAAATATTAAAGTAAACACAAGTAAACAAATTTGTAAATATCACTATTTTTGTTTTTCAAAAGTTTCCAATACCTTCGTGTACCAGTTTATTTTTACGGTAGAATTATTTGCACACATACGTTTTTCTGTCAAAAAAAAAGAAAAAGATGTGATAGAGAATATAAAGAAACATATTAAAAATATAGAGAAAGACAGAGAGAGAGAGAGAGAGAGAGAGACAGATAAAATATAAAAAACATACGAATAGTTCAATTTCATATCGACTTTGGATCAGAAAAGTTGAACGAGTTGAATTAAACTGAGAGCTCGATTTCCACATCGGAAATGCGAGTATCGTTTGGGGGTATGGGGGTACACAGCAGGTAGGATGAGGTCAAGAAGAGGTCAGCCTTGATTCAAGTGGCCGGCGAAAAAGAGGCAGAATAATAAATGAAAGAAAAAAAAAAATAAAGGGAAAAAGAAGATCGCGATAAGAATTTTTGTTTCGGAAATTACGAGAAAGAAAAGTAGCAGTGAATAAATATTCGCATAGAACTATATCATTTTTATTTTTTTTTTATTTTTTTATTTTTTTTTTTTTTTATAACTTTGGTAATAAATAGTAAAGTAAATTTACTTAAGAGATGTAATACTATTTTTTTTATCTATCATTTTTTACATTAGTAATACGATTAGATTGGAAATTAATGTAATTGTATAAATTATCGATTTTAAATAGAAAATATTTGATTTATTTCACGCAAAAATAATTTCAAATGAAAATTAAATATTCAAATTATTTTTTTGTTGCATCGAAAATTAATGTAATTGTATAAATAAATTATCGATATTAAAAAATAAATAAATATTTGATTTATTTCATGCAGAAATAATTTCAAATGAAAATTAAATATTCAAATTATTTTTTTTTCGTGTTGAATTTTTTTTCGTAAACAAAACAACATAAATATTGTACATCGTTATATATATATATATGTTTAAAAGAATAGTAAACATAATTTGCTATGCATCATCGGTAATGACCCTAAGTGCATTGTCGATGAATGAAACAGACAAACTTTTAATAAAGATTGAATATCAAAAAGATTGTACAAGAATAAAATCAAGTTGTTACGTTCCTTACCTTTAGAAATAATTCCTTCCTTGACACTTGATATTTAATATCATTAATTTAATCTTGTTGACGACGTCAATTTGTTGTCTGTCTCTTACATGAACAATAAGGTTTGTTTACAACAAAAATCTCTGGTATATAGATTTTTTAAAAGATTTCGTAATGTGTTGTAGAAAAAAAAAAGAAAGGAAAAAAAAAGAAATAAGAAAAGAAAAAAAACATTGGAGACGAATAAGGATAGGTAAAGCCAGTATAACGGATTACCCCATTTGATTTATTGATTACATCAAATGTCTTTCAAAGAGTTACTGATTTATTCCAATCGTTTGTAATTCAAAACTAAAGAAAAACAAATATTTTTGTTAATAAAATCCCATTTGACATATGAAATACATCTTGGATATATTTTTGTCATATAAATATATATTTAATTAAATATATTTTAATTATATTAATTAAATTATATTAAAAATATATTTATTTAATTACTTAATTTTAATTTTTTTTTAAATTAATAATATTTAATTTATAATATTTTATAAATTATATAATTTATGAAATTAATTATTAATATTATCTCTAATATTAATTTAAGTTTAAAAATATTTAATTTACATTTATTAATATAAATTAAATTATATATTATATTTAACTTAATTATATATTATTATTATTATTATTATTATTATTATTATTATTATTATTATTATATATTTAATTATTAATTAGTAATTATATGTAATAATACAATTTATATATATGCCTATAATATTTTATTCGTACAAAAAAATATTTATATCTTTGAAACCATATAAAAAAGGTTTTTATTTTATAATTAAAAAAATTAAATTTGCTTGAATACAGGTACGCTTATAAATCAAATATTAAAAGAAATATATAATTATATATGAAGTTACAGTGACTGGCGTAAATATATTTCGACAGCATCTAAATTCGAATAATCATTCCCATATATATATATATATATATATATATATATATATATATGTGTCTGTCATTTATAAAAATAATGACTTTTCTTTACTTTAATAAGTTAGAACATTTGTTTCAGCTACTACAAATATAACATTTATTTATATTGCATTCAATTTTAACAAATCGTAAAATATTCCATTAATTGCATTTTAGATGATTATTCTTACATAATTAAAAAAACTTAAATAAAGAGATCATTATTTTCATAAATAATAAAGATGCATATAACAACCATAATTCTTTGGATTGCGTCGTGTCTGAATATTTTATGCCAGTCACTGTATACATTTACATTTTATTCAATATCAAGTATGAAACATTATTTATAAGGATAATTACTGTAACTTATCTCAAAAAATTGTTATGTAAATTTTCTATTATTCGTAAAGCTTAAATAAATTTATATTAAGTCGAGGTATAAATTAAATATAATTTTTTTTTTATTTTTTATTAAAAAACCCATTGCATTTCATATTACATACATACATATATACATACAATATGAAAAAAAGTTGTAAAAAAACGAATTGAAAAGGAAACAAAGAAAAAACTTCGACGTAGAATATTTTTCTTCGTAAACCCATATCGATTGGTAATATTTTATGTACAAAAATAAAAAAAAACCCACACACAAAAAAAATTAAGATTTATCTCTCTTTTGACTAAAGGCAGGAAAAGAAAGAAAAAAAAAATACTTAACATTATTTTCTAAGAGTGTATTTTATTTTGCATGATTATAGTTGCGGTAGTCGTCGCATTCTTCATCTGTTGGGCGCCATTTCACGTTCAACGATTGATCGCCATTTATGGTACCAATAGCGACGATCACTTCACGTCCTACAGTAAATGGGTAGAATCCCTTAATCTGTTGATGACCTATGTGTCTGGAGTTCTTTATTATGTCTCCACTACCATCAATCCGATTCTTTACAACATCATGTCGAATAAATTTCGTGTGGCTTTTATGGTGAGTAGTTAAAAAGATAACCTCACACAAGATAAACTTCATTGAATTTTTTTTTCTACATTTTTTTCGATAGATAGAATATTTAAAATGATTGGTTGGAATTAATTTTAGATTGATTCTATTTTTTTTTTTTTTTAAATAAACACTTATAGGTACATTGTTATTCAATTTTGTTTAGGCATTCATTTTGATTTTTTAAACGAGTTGCAATAAAAAATATTTCAAAAATAAATGGTGGATCGAAGACAGGATTATTATTATTATTATTATTATTATTATTATTATTATTATTATTTTACAGGATATACACTTTTGTATTAGATCAAAGTTTGTCTTTTTTCTTAACCTAATTTGGTGAGACCAAACCTAATCTAAATTGAATGATATCAAACATAGAAACTGTAGGGAATAAATGTGATATAAATTATTTAATAAAACAAGATAGAAAGAAAGACCAAAAAAAATATTTCAAAATTGAAATTTTTATATATATAGTTATGTATAATTAAGTATAATTGTTATGTATATATATATATATAGTGTAATTTTAATAACATAATCGTGATCGAGTAGTTGTAATATTTTTGTTTTTCTATTGCATCTATTAGAATATTATTCGAAATTTGAATACGTAATGCGTAAATCGGAATATCAAATTTAAGAATGTATACTGGAGAAAAGTTTGAAGACATGTTCCGAACGTGTGCATAAGTATAATACACGATGATTTACATATTGTCGAAACTGAAGAATAAATAAAACTTTTCTCTCCCTCTCTTTCTCTTTCTCTCTCGTGTTCTTACTTGCAATAAATCTTATTTTATACGTTATCGATAGAATTTAATGATTTTATCGCGATTTATGACAATATATGGAAATATTTATACGACCTTTAAAACGAAAATGTATTTGTACGTATATATATATGTGTATGGAATTTCAAATAGGTGAATTTGTATACACATATACATAGGAGCAAAGATTTTTCCTGAACTTTTTCTAAATTTGACACCTAGCCATGAAACAGACGTTAACACACATTTATATATGTATAATACATATATGTATTTCATATATTTACGTGAGAAAATATATAAGATTAAAGTTTTTTCTTACATCTTCAATGCTTCGTTCTTTTTTCTTCTCTTCTTATTTGTTTCTATTTTTTGTAACGAAGTCTTACTTTAATTTACATATAACTGAAAGTGAGTTGGTGCAAATGATAAAAATTATATTTAAAAAAAATATTTAAGTGATAGAAAAAAAAACAAGATTTATAGATTATTATTCGAACTTATTTAACTGAAAAAAAAGAATAGAACTAAACCAAAAAAAATTTAATTAATATATTCGTATACCAAACTTGCAAAATGTAAAAATAAATTAATACTCGTATAAATATATATATATATATATATATATATATTTTTTTTTTTTTTTTTTTAATGAAATTTTTAGCAAAGTGAACTTTTAATATTATATTTTAATTTAATATTATAATTTAATATTTGTGTTTAATATTTAATTTTATTTCGTGGAAAACAATTACAAATTAGGGTGAAAAATATTCGTCAAACGAATAATCGTGGAAAAATACATTTTTCTATTTTTTCTTTTTTTCTATTTCCTTTTTATTCGGAAGAATACTTCACAAATAGAAAATTAGATTGATATTACTTACTTTTCTAGAAGGAACTAACTAAAAAGATATTCGAACCTTGGAAAACCGAGTATTAACGAACTTGATATGGAAATAAGATCGTACGTGCTAAGAAATTTCTTTCATCCCCTATTCGTTTTAAAACTAAAAAATATATCGATGAAAATTAATTTAAAAAAAAAATGAAAGTTACAGAGAAATATTCGATTAATAAAAAAAAATTAAATAAATATTTATTTGATCAATACAAAAAATTAATTAAATAATTACTATTATTTCTAATAATTACGATCACATTATTCTTATTTGTCCAATCGCATTTTTTTTACTTTTAACAATTTAATAAAAATCTAATACATCCACAATAACATTTTAAAAATTGAAAACCAATCACTCTACTTTTTCTTTTTGTTATTCAATATTGCAAAAGTTCATAGTTCAATATACATAATAAAAGAACGAAAAAAAACGTTTCGATTTGGGTGTCCTTGAACAACGCACAAGATCCGTTCAGGTAAAAAAAAAAAAATATAAAAAACAGACAAATGGTTTCTTTCTTTATCAGATGATCTTAGGCCAAAAATGGATAGAGATCGAACCTACTCAAAAAAATATGATTGAAAATGAGAGACAGAGAGAGAGAGAGAGAGAGAGAGAGAGAGAGAATGATGAATAAAGAAAGAGATATATGTACTTGGATAAAGAATAGAAACGAGAGAGAAGGACAATGGTAAAACTTCCAAAATGTAGTCACGTACGCATCATGTTGAATAAATTGAAGATCATATTTTAGAGTATAACTTTAGAGTAAGTTAATATTCCTCAGAGAAAACCCCTTTCTTAATGTATCTATCATAATATCATTAACCCTTTAGCTAGTGGCCGTGACAGTACGATGGTATATCTACTTTCTTATGCCATATAAATGAAAAGTAACTAGATAAAATATTATTTTTGACAAAAAAATAGAAAAAACGTTCTACCAAAAAGAATAATAAACAATTTTGCCATTATTTATGTGCATAATTTTATTCTAACAATGACAAACATAAATAAGAATAATGTGTTGAAAAATATTACTTTAGATAAGAATAACTTTTAATAGTAATTTAGGAATTTTATGAATATTTCCAAAATATTTAATAAAACTAATGACAAATAAAATAATATTAATTTATTTTTGATATATATTATAGGAAACATTATCGAGAAGCTGCAGGATGTCTGGTCTTCGACAAAATCAACGTTTTTATTCGAGTTTATCTCGTTCACAACAAAGGACAATTGGTTCGAGAACTGCAGCAACAGCTGGAACAGGTATGGTACAGGATAGTACAGAATGTTCTGGAAATTCTGCAAGAGATGATAGTCCACGTCGTTCATTTAAATCATCATCTGTTGCTACTACTGCTACTACATTAGAAAGACCTTCGAAACAAACGACGGGTTTCAACGTAAACGAAAAAACAAAACGTGACACGAGAGATATAAAAATGACCAGAATCGAAGAAAGATTTTCATCAGAAAATAAATCAACCGACGAACGATCTAACAACGAACTTAGGTGGCCTGAATCAACGAGATATACCACTCTCAAGGTCACCGATATTGATGGTCAAGATAAAAGATGGCGACGTTTTTTTAAATGGTTACCCGGATTAAAACATCTCAAATTTCCACGAAGAACCACGACTTATTCATTGTCATCGAACGATGATGATAATAATATGTCGAACGTCATTAATACAAATCGACAATGCGAATTTTCAATGACTTTGTGGAATATACGCGAAGGCAACGAGCATGATCGCGTTAGAACGTAAATAATAATTAAATATACGTTAAGAAAAGAACAGAAAAAAAACAAACACAAAAAAAAGTGCTCATTCATTTTATCCGAGGGATTCCTGTTTTATCGATAGAGCGAAATCACAAATTTTCAATACGTATCTCATTAATAATAAATACCTGTAATTAATAATATCTCGATAATATTCTTCTTGTTTTTTTGTTTTATTTCTTTTTTTTTTTTCATAAAGAAAAGAAGACTTGAAAAAGATAATGAACTTTAACACGTTGCCGCACACTTTTAATTTGACGATCGTGCTTAGAAATACGAAGATCGGACGGCTATAGCCGTCATTTGCGGCAACGTGTTAATCAGTGCGCGAGTGTCAATTTCAAGTTTAATAATATGTACAATATTATTCAAATAAAGTATTACAAGCTGTTGTTGTTTTTTTTTTTATAAACTAATTAAGATAACGATTTCAATTTTACGATAATTAAATGGCATAAGAGGTGAATAATGATAATATACAATACATTTTATGAAATAACTTTTAAAGAGGAAAATATATGAGAAAATGCACGATATAATAATAATAATAATAATAATAATAATAATAATAATAATAATAATAATAATAATAATAACAGTTAACTCGATTCAAACAAAAAGTTAATACTACGTTTTATGAAAATAAAATCTGGGGAATCACCGTATCCATTTAATTACTGTAAAACTGAACTAGATATTAAACTAAAACAACAGTACGTAATACTTTATTTGATCCATACATAATTGTATATATATATATATATATATATATATATATATATATATATATATGTATGATTAATTATTGATATCACTGAAAATAAATTAATCGTACAAATTGTTTATAACAAAAATATTGTAAATGAAAAATGATTAAAATGACAATTACTCACTGTGATAGTTAGAAAATATGTGAGAAAGATTTATCGTTAGGATTAGGAATATTATTAATGTAAAGATAACAAAAAGAAATCAAATTAAATATTGTGAAGAAGAATTGTTAAATTAATAACACACGAAATAATTTTCAAAAACTTTAGTTTTATGTGAGCTTTTTATAAATAAATTTTATCGAGTTTAAATATTCAATAGAATCGCATCATCGTCCTAAAGACTGAGCATTCTCGAATTATAAAAAAAAAAAAACAATAACGTGTAATAAACGTAATTTAATAAAAAAATAAGGGAGTGGGAACGCAACATTATAAACCTTTATAATTTTTTTTTTTTTTTTAACTAACTAGGGAAGAAAAATCGATCGGCTTAAAAAAAGCCTAACACAACCCTTCGTATTTTTTTTCTCTCCACAGTTAGTTTTCATTTTTAACTCTAACATTTAACGCTAAGTGTTATGATGTATATGTTATTATTTTTATAAATAAAAAAAAATTAGTTGTAAGCATTATACTATAAATATAATAATTATAATTATTTTTGTTTTTCTTTCCTTGCCAATAAGAATGATGTATTTCTCTATTTTTTTTTTTTTTTTTTTTTTACTGTATTCGTTTGTATATTGTAAATAATCAATGATTAAATAAAAAACGAATTTTTATATAAAATTATTGTTAAATAAGGATTTGAAATAATCGTACGCTTAGAAGAATATTGTTACAATTTCATATAAAAAAAATTGTCAAAATTAAGTTCTAAAAATATTGAATTATTAGATAATTATTTTGCAATTTTCAAATTACGAACATTTAAATATAATAAAATTTATGAAATTGTTCACTGTTAAAACTCGTAACAAAAGTTGTGACAATATTCTTCTATGCTGTATAAATTGTATAAAAATGAATATTTTTAATGTAAATATAAATATTATTGTATGTTAAGAAATTCTACATCTTCTTCCCTCGTCGGATGTATTTTAAAAACAGAGAGAAAGAAAGAAAGAAAAAAAAAGAAAATAGAAACACATGTCGTTTTACACAAATACACTGAGGTAAAGAATATGTCAAGGATAACAAAAAAAGATAATTACGTTAATTAATAAGCGCACGTGTATCATTTATCATACTACAAAAAAATTACACCATATGATGCTTAACAACAAATCGATTATGTTGGTCATGGTGTTGCTAAAAACAAATATGCAAAGAAAAAAAAAGGAAAATTAACCCCCCCCCCAAAAGAAAAAAAACTGCAAAATAAATTATCTTTTCTTAGCATTACAATAAAAAAAAAAAAGTTTATATATGTGATAATGAGTTCTGAAAAAAAAAAAATATATATATATATATATATTATTTTTTATTTTTTATTTTTATTTTTATTTTTATGTAAGATTGAGAGAAACAATTTTTGTTATTTTCATTTTGTGTGAAACTAACAGATAAAATTTCTTTTTTTTTTTATACCTGAATATATAATAATTCATAACAAAAGTGATAAATAAAGACATATTTCATCAAATGAACAAAAGTATCATTCATTTGGTACTTTTTCTTTATACGAATATATATATATACATACATATATATACATACACGTATACATATATATATATATTTATATATATATTTATTTATTATATTATATTATATATATATAAATATATATAATTATTTATATATTCATTGACAATAAAGATTAGAAACATTGTGACATATGTATAGGAGATTGTCAGAAGATGCCTGATGGAAACAAGATTTTTTTTTTTTACAACTTATAATGAAAATGATCAAATCTATTTTTGTAAATTTTTTATTAATATTCTATTTTTTTTTTATTTTTTTTTTTTTTTTATTATATAAAAACAATTCATTTCAATCAGGCATCGTTTATTTGCTTAAAGCACTGGAGGTTACATAGTGAATTTTGTAAAAATACACTTAGTAAAATGCGCAGCGTTTGCTTTTAAATAAAACAATGATATACAGAGATTTGGAATTATTTGCTATGCTAAATACAACAAAGTTTGAACTCGTATATATCAGAGATTTTAACGAAATATACGAATATATACGGAGACATTGAACGTGCACGAGTTTTAATTAAACCATTTGTTTCTTTTTGTTTTTATATATATATATATATATATATATAAAGCACAAAGTACAAAGCTTTTTTTTTCTTTTAGCATTGTTGAAGAGATAATGATAAAATAATTTAAAATGAACAAAAAAAAAACAGAAAAAAGACAGATAAGTACCGATAAACTTTGATACGTCATATTAAATCTCGAACAAAAATTAATATTTTTATGCGTGATGTATTTTTCTTTCTTTTTGCAGATATTGCAAGTAAATTGACTAATAAATGCGATTATGTTTTACCACATATTTAACATGATTAAAATGTGTGATCTTAAATATAATATCTTGTTTTTTATTGTTTTATTTTGTTTTTTAGCGTATTGATTAACGAATACGTCACGTTCGACGACTAAATGCATATAAATACGAAATAACATTGTACCATAAATTTATACATCCAAACGCGATGGTAATATATAGTATACATACACATATGCGTGTGTGCGTAGAAAATAATAATCGGTACGCACGCACCCATATGGAACTAAACTAATGATAAAAAAATTCTTATATATCGATAATATTAATAAGCGTACAGTTCAGTGAATCCATAAATATAGAAACATATATATATACATATATATAAAAATATATAATATATATCTATATATATATATGTATATATGTGTCACGCGAAAAATTGGAATGATTAATTTTATTTTCACATCGATTAAAAATCGCATTTTGAAATTACTTTTACTTACGGTATACTTTCCAGACATTCCTTAATATGCTGCCAAGTTTGGAGACTCTGTAAAAATCAAAATAATAATAACGTGATCATTCAATAATAAAATTCATATATAAATTTATACATTTGGTTTATATAAATTCAACTTTTACCTTTCTAGCTAGTTTAAATTGTAGAACACAATAAGCTGCCAAGGTTTCTTTTAAATCGACGACCTTTTGATGTTGAAATCTTTCTATATCTACCATAGCTTTGCTGGAAAAGGATCTACGAATATGTTATAAATAATAATTATATATTATTGTATAAATTACAAATTATAGATAAAAAAAAAAAATACGAGAAGAAAATAAAATATATTTATATGTATATAAATATATATGTATATACTTTAAATCCTCATCAACTTGTTTCACCATCTCATTTTGCTGCGTGATTCTATGCTCCAATCGAAGAATTTTTAATTCTCTTACTTCTTCTGTATCAACTGATCCAAAAAGTCTGGACATTAATCCTGCCTTTCCTGTAATCATTTTCATTTATATTACATTCATAAGATATTGAAATATTTTATACAATTTGAATAAAATGTACCTTGTATCACCCTGTCCTTTTGTTCGCATGCAGCTATTAACGCATCTTGAGCTTCATCCCTAGCCACTTGTAAAGCTTCTCTTCGTCTGACGACAGCCTGTAAAGCTGAAGCACCAAAAAGCCATTCTTTCAATTGATCAGCAATAAGTTCTTCTTCTTCAAGTGTGGTGTCAATCGTAGCTGCTAATGAGTCCAAGTAATGGCCTGATTTCTAAGAAAATATGCTGTAATGCAGTGTGCTTATAACCATCTGATTATTGTTTAGAATAAATTTTCATATTGTAGATGCATGACAGCGTCTGTTTCAAAATTTGAAGAATAATAAAGTATTATATATATATGTATATACAATATACACAAAATACCTGCAAACCATCTCCCATTTCTTTCTCAATAGCGCTCCATTCGCTGAACACACGACCATAATTCGCATGTAGTTTATATAAACTGTATTGCTTTTCCACAAGACGGGCTCGTACTCTGAGAAGATTGCAAAGGTTGTTCTAAACAAAATAAGATATTAGATACTTTTAGAAATATTATGAAATATTAGAAATGAATTCAAATTTACCTGAAGTTCAATTCCATAATTCTTTAATGTTTCAAATCGTTTATCTGGTTTTCTTAAACGAACAGCTACACTAAGAGCTTTTAACTTAGACTCTGCTAAACGTAAATAACCTGTAAAATAAAAATGAATCATATTTAATATAATAATTAACTGTAAAAGTAATTTTAATAAAATTATTACTTACTTATCTCTTGAATATGTTCCCTCCAGCCTTCCCGTTGTTGTAAAAATCCCATGAAGTGTTCATTTTGAGATAATACAGGATGTGATGCTACTCTTAGTAGGAAATTCTGCACACATAATGTAAGAGAATTTAATTAGAGAATAGAAGATAACAAAATTAGAACGATGAGTATCTTACCTCTAATCCTGCTCTTCGTCGGTCTACAAAATCTGGATCAAATGTATCAGTTGTAACTTTCTGCCATGCGTATAATACTCTTTTCTCTGGTAATGGTGGTAAAACGATATATGGATATGCAATGTCTAAGTACGTTCTTAATAATTCAAAATCAGTATAACGTCTCCATAAAGAACTTGTGATACTTAGAGCACCCTTGAAATTAAGATCTGTAACTCTATAAAAGTATACACCTTTTAACACGCATTGTTCTTGCAGAACACCAGTATTTGTATAATATCAAATACATTTATACATACTTGGTTTCGATAAGGTACACAGTATAGAATTCTCTTAAATTTAATGGTCCATTAGGTCGCTTTTCAGCCTCCACTATTGAAATTTCCATATGATCCAATAAAGAATCCTAAAATAAAATATACATTCATGTAAACAGTTTTCATTTGTATATAAGAACATTTTAACACATCAATATGATATTAAAATAATAATATGTAATAAACCATTGTTTGAAGAAAATCCAAAGTGTTTTCAAAATAAATATCTTTTTTAAATGAATAAAATGTGAAATAAGTGACTATCGACGAAATCAATATCCTACATATATTACATATATATATACAGTCAATAAACACACGACACGTTTGTATTCTATGTGAAATGAAGGGTAATGAACGTATTGATTTTACCACATAGATTTACTAAAGTTAAATGTAGCACACACATATACATGTTTAAAAATATCTATACGTACCTCTTTAGATGCCTCTGAAGTGCTCATATTTGCGTTAGCTTCGTTACAATAATTACCGTTTTGAAATACGCCTTCCATGACTCCGAACAAGAAATTAAACAGCTCGGTAATAATTGAGGACTCGTCAAACAGCTTTCATATCACTCCGTTTTAGACGCGGTACAGTGCGGGATATGCAGGGACACGTACGTGCAGGCTGACCAAACGTCAAACTGTAAGGGAGTCAAACTTGTGCAACATAAATCTTTAACCTACAACTAAGTTGATAATATTGTAGACAGTGCTGATATCGTCACTGTATCAAAGAATATATATTGTAGAACATTAGAAGTGCAATTTTCGTGTTAAAATTTCATCATAGTTAGCACCGGGACCACCAGTCGGCGGTAGCAGGTAGAATATTGCATTTTGTGATAGTATTGTTCTGTTCTTTGACAGTATTATACTATCATGACATAAAATATTTAGTATCGCCCACTGGTGGTCCCGGTGATAACTAACTTACATTCGTTGACTGTATTTTCCGATTACATTTTCCATCCGAGTTTAAAAATAATTTTTGATTATTTTGATGATAATAAATATTAATTACAGTTTAAAATAGTGGTAATTATTATAAATATTTATAAATATTAAGAAAAATTTAATCGGAAAACCGTTTGGAGGTGTTTTAACTTATTATGTTAGTTCAAGGTTTAAATGTAAGATGGCAGAAAGTTTCGTAAATAATATTGGTAACTGCAATTGATTGGTAAATTATCTACGAGTATGATAGTTTATGAATACTTTTGACTAACTGTGTTACTGTAAAAATACACGTATGCATCCTCTGAGGTAAGTAATATGGATTGTATTTTCTAATTGTAAGAGAATTTATAAACCAAATATAATTTTTAATTTTTTATATATATGTATATGTATATGATAAAATATTTTAGGTTATTAATCGGTAAGATATTAAAATATATATGAATTATTGCAACAGTAAAATACAGTAGTTTCCTCAAAATGCGAGTCAAATCAAATACTATTATTGTTATTATTATTTACAATAAACGTATCAATTAATTATAGGGAAGAATATAAACACCGAATGAAGCTTTTTCGTTTTTCTCATAATAGCAAAAAAAAAATATCTCCGACTCTAATGGCGTAAACGATAAAGAAATAAGGAAATATGTTAGCACGGCGTTGGAAAGTTGGCGCTAATTTACCCATCGATCTCCATTAGAAAAGCGGCTTAATTATAGTACAAGCCTCAGTAGGGGAAAATTCCCTATTACTTCATCCCTTACCCGTTCCCATCCATGCTTTGAGTTGAAAGTTCAACTTCATAACCTTGGCGAGGATAGATATAAATCTCAGGACTTTATCCCCCGCGAACCAACCTTTCTCTACGCGCCACGGCCATAATTTGAAAAACTTTCGACGGGACAAAAGTGAAGACTTTCCTTAAAAGTTTAAACTCTCTTCCGTCGGTCCTTTGGGTTTAGACGCGGTGGCCCACCACCACCACCACATTGGAGGAGTGTTTGCACCAGGGTGACACCCCGACAGTATTTTGTTCCCTTTGTCTCCCCCTTCCTATTACTTACATTACAATACCCGCTAGGACTACTTCCTTCGTAATCTTCTTTTTTTTCTTATAATTTTTTTCTTTTTATTTTCTTTTCATTTCTCTTTATAGGCCTTTTACTAATCGAGATACAATACGAGTGATTCTAAAAACGTTTTAGATTATTAGAAAAGGATTAGATAACATTGAACATTTTATCTTCTTTTTATAATCCTTTTACTTCAATTGTACAGCTAATTGATTAATAACAAAAATTTTATTGTGTCATAATTACCTTCACAATAATCCGAAGAGTTTAATTATTTTAATTATTTAATTATTTCTCTTTCCCCACCCCATTATCCTAGAAAAAGAAGATAATTGATTTAAATCAGTTTTATCGCGTTACGAGTACGTAGTATACAATATTATATCTCAACATATATATAGTACATAACACATATCATATGTGTACATATATATGGTAAAAAACATCCATATGAATGATTAATATCTGAAGCGTAAAATGCATAATAAATAAGTGACAAAAGAAAAAGAGGAAGAAAAAACAAGAATATGCGTCGAGGTGAAATGATATTAGGTAGAGAGAGGGGAAATTACACGGAGTGAGATACATAGGGACAAATAAATGGAAAGATAGAGAAAGCAAGAAGGGACAGAGATATTCGCCAATTTAATTAATATTTCGTTTATATGTCGTTTCTCGCGCCTTCGCCACCTCTACCACCCTCCCCCTTTTCCACCCCTTTCGTATCACCACGCTACTACCGCTATCGTCACCAACACTACCGCAACTCTCACACTCTCACCCTCAAATGTATGTACTCGTCTTGTTCAATACAACTATATTGGGATATACAGAAGAGACACAGAATGGGAAAGAGTGAGAGAGAGAGAGAGAGAGAGAGAGAGAGAGAGAGAGAGAGAGAGAGNGAGAGAGAGAGAGAGAGAGAGAGAGAGAGAGAGAGAGAGAGAGAGAGGGAGAGTAAATGCGGACACATCAATGAAACGGAGATTAGTAAGCGACTTGTGCATGAATACATGATATACAAGTTATGTATGTGTTAGTCCGTGTGCTCGCTTGTGTTCACTCTATCGTACGGTTGTATGAGAAGGGTGATCAGGACAATGCTGAATTGTCTGTATTTCAATTTAGCACGCCCATTGTTAGACATTAATATTATCGAGTTTGAAAATTGTTTCGCGTAATCCCTTTTCTGGGGGTTGAATGGAGTCTTCATGTATACATGGACACACAGAGATAAAAAGACATTCACATATATATTTAAGTGAGGTAGGATTGATCTCTCGAAAGATAACGCATAATTAATATCTATTCTTGATACTTTATCATTTCTATTTCTATTATAAATTTGTCGTTCATCTTTGGTTAATAAAAATTGTTGTTTTTTGTTTGTTATTATATAAATAGTTAAGGAATTTAATTTTCATTAGATATTTTTGTAAATTTGATATTTTTTACAATTGATTTGGATTATTAATATCCGTGAATGGATATTATTTTTCTTTTTTAAAATTATTTTTCAAATAAAATAAATCAAAATATTTTGTTCTCGCGAAATTTAATTATTTTAATTTGAATAAAGAGAAACTTAAATTTTTAATTACAAAAGAAAAATAGAGGAAACTAAAAAAAAACAAAAACAAATAAATATTATATATATATATATATCATATAGATATATATCATATATATATATATCATCAGATCTCAAAAAACGTATATTATCATATTTAATTAAATAAAATTTATAATTGAATTTGAATTCCATAAAATTACATTTCTATTTTTTTCAATTATCTTAAAAAGTATAAATCTTTCAAATGTATTAAAAAAATTGATATATAAAACTAAGAACATTAGAAAATTGAGTATAGATATTCAACAACGAAGGACACGTTTGTGTCGGCACGTACCAATTCACTACGTCAACGGGAGAAAGAGAGAGAGAGAGAGAGAGAGAAAAGAGTTGTGAAAGGGGGGAAAGGGGGAGAGAAAGAGAGAGAAAGGTTAGCGCAAGAGGCAGATGGAAAATCCAATATAACCGCACATACGTTTATAGGGTCGATAGGAATATATTGGAACGGATATTGAAATACTTGTTGGTAGTTTGAGTCGAGGGCGAGAAATGCCTTTCTTGATGCCACCTTGATTGCGCCATCGTGGAATTGGTCCGGGATATACAGAATTTGTCGTTAATGAATCGTACAGATTATATAAATCAATGATGAACTATTCTCTCCTACTATTTCCTTTCTTTTTCTTTCTTATTCTTATCGAAGTAAAAAAAAAAAAAAAAAACAGGTAAAACCAAGAAGAAGTGAGGTGTTTCATCCCTTTTTTCTTCCTATTTTCTACTAGGATTCCTATCGACAATGAAAAAAAAGTCAAATTAAATGTGTGAGAACTAAAATAAGCTAAAGGAAAATAATAAAATGAATAAATTTAATTGTAAAGGGTGGGGGAGTAAAAGGAGAGGGTTGGGAAAAAGAGAAAAGGAGAATCATTTGAAGATATTTTAAATAAAAACCAATTGATGTAATATACTATATTGATATTATATATTATATTAATATTATCTTTTATTATTATTTTTTAACAAGGATTATTACTTTTAACAAGGATAGAAATTTAAAAAACATCGATAGTAATTAACTTAAAATTGAGTTTATCGAGAGTTTATGATATTAATGTAATTAATTACAAAGAAAATATAATTAAAATAATATTTATATAATAATATAAATTAATATATTATATAAAAATATAATATAAAATAATATATAATAATATTAAAATAATAAAAATTTAAATAATAATTTTAAAATAAAATTAATATAAAATTTTAAATTAGGGTTAAAATAATAATTTTTTTTATTAATACATTAAAATAATATAATTAAAATAATATATTAATGATAATATCATCAATATTTATGACAAATTTTAATTATTAAATATAATAATAATATAAGATTACCAAAAATATGAGATGAACGAAAAAAATATGTTATATATTACTGGTAGGAAAAGTGAATAGGAAAAAAAAAGAAGTAGTTTTGGGCTTCTGTTGTTAAGAATGATGAAAAGAAGGCACGTAGGCGTTGCTCTCAACACGATTTGCATGGAAATCTTTTAACGTTAAGGCCAAAAGCAATATCTGGCAGATGCATCCGAACGCCTTTCCTTCTCCATGATAATACTTAGCTATATATATAAAAGTGCATATATATAGAAACGGTGAGATAATGTTGGAACGTGTGTCGCTAATAGGTTCAGTCGATTATATTCCTCTAAGGCGAGACTATACCCGTTTTATTCTAACGTTCAGAACGTTGAGAAAGATTCAGAGTGGGGGAAAAGAGTGAGTTAAAGTGAACGAGAAAGAGAGAAAGAGAAAATAAAAATAAAAAAGAAAAGTGGTGGCGTAGCAACTGGAACCCACCCTTATTCTGTTCTCGGTTGCATGGTGGAAAAAGAAATTATGATACCGCATATACTACTTCAACGCTACATTATATATTAATTTTCGTTCCCTTCTTTCCTACTTCACCCTATCGTTTTCACTCTCTCTCTCTCTCTCTCTCTCTCTCTCTCTTTTTTCTCTCACACTCACTCACTCACTTGCTCACTCACTATTCTTTTGTCATATTTTA